TTTTTTTTTTTTTTTTTTCTTTTTTGACATGCTCTCTTTCGTTACTGTTTTCTTTTTTTCAGTTTTTACTTAAATGGTACAATGACGTATTTTTTTATCATTTTCTTTTTTTGTTTGTCTCTTTAATCTACTCGCACTGTTCTGCCTGCTTGTAAAAAACATCGTCGAAAATGATTCTTTTCGTGGCTATTTCATCGTTTCTACGTTCTATACACTAATATACAAGTTATGCAATTTTTTTGTTTTAATTCATATGCCTGTCCGTCCCACTTATCTAATTATCCGCTAATATGGAATACATTTCTTGCTCTTTATATCCCTCTGCATCTACCGTGTGTCCCAAAAGCATCACCGGCTCGTACATTGCTCGCGCGAGTATCGAACAACAATTGCCTTTTCAACGAATGAACAAACCTTATCGCGAAACGATAATGTTAACAACAAGCTGAGAAGACAATAAGAGAGCTTTCAAAATTGTTATATATCGTGCTATCACAAAATTTCACGCCTCTGCTTCCCAAGCGAAAACGAGCAACGCAATACATCAAACAATTTACAATTTGCAGCTTAATATATGCTTCGTATATATATATTACAAACAGCTTACGATTTAGCCGATAATACCTTCTTTTCTTTTTCTTTTCTGTTTTTTTTTTTTGACTTCCATAACGCCGAAATGAAACGATCATTAATTCGCAACAATGTACACGCGCACACGTGATTATAAGTATCGAAAGAAAGAATCACGAATGACACGAGTCGACACGCGTGCAATTGTAAGAGCCAGTGGCGTGGCAAACGAGTGTACGCATACATATATGACATATATCTGACAAATATATACGATATATATATATTTATATATATATGTTCAATTAGCCCTGCGAATCCGTGGTTGTTTATCGTGTAACCGTGTCAAGGATAAGTGTGTACGTGTATTCAGTGAGACGATGCAATGAAATGTGACGATATCTCTGCGGTGAGAATAGCGCGCTACTGTACATCAGTCTTAATATCAGGGCGCACCATTCCCGATGGATGTTACTCTACGTCCTCAGCGTCCTTCCTTGGTTCACGTGCGCGCATCTCTGCGACTTGTCACCAAAAGGAACGCCTCCCCCCAAGGACCCCTTTGGGGAGGCGCCCGACCATGAACCAACGATGTCGCGAATCAATTTTCTATTTCACGTTTTCTTTTGTTATTCGACTAACTGCTTGCTCGATTAACACGAATATAGCGCCATGGCAGTTGAAACCGGTGGGGTGCGAAGATGATGAAAAATGAAGGACGCGGTGTCTTGAATACGTGTGTGTGTGTGTGTGTGCGTGCGTGTGTTTTTCGGTGTCTGGATCCGTGTGCATGTACGTATTCGCAAACTTGCAATCAACGAACGGCAGCGCAAGCTTTGTCACTTCTTTTTTTCGTTGAATACTCGTAAATAAATACGGTGCTTGCCGACACGACATCGGTCCATGTGTGCGACTGGGGGTGTGTTATGCGTATAATGTATGCATTTGTAAGTGTGTACATGTATGTGGATGAGCATGTTGTGTGTGTTACGATCGAGTGTGTTCTACAAGTGGGAGGTCGCAGATCTTTCATATATATATAATACAATTAGCATGTAGTATTAAAATCATATACAATTGTTACAATATTTAAATAGTACTTATTACATATATATCATGTATCGATAGTTTTTAAAGGTTTTAGATATACATATACAGATATATATATATATATATATATTTATATGTATATATATGTATAATCAATTATTTATAGGGTTGCTTAATTGTTCTCCTCTTTCGAATCGTATGCGTTCCCACCAGGAACCCTTTCTTGACTTTGCATTTTCTCCACTGCATTTTCGTTTCTTCGTCAAGATGTTCGCAAAGAAACACTCAAGAAGGGTTGGCGTGTGTCCGGGTACAGAAAGGGCGAAAGAGAAAGAGGTGATTGTATCTAAAGTACAAATATTAAAGGCTTAAAGGGAGCGCAAAGGGATATACGTAACGCAACGTGGGAACGCTGTCATATTACTTGTACGATATCTCTGTATATATCGAATCGGGTGCCATTGTTGTGTTATTTAAAGAATGAATTATACATATAAAACAGTAGTCAATTTATCTTCCGCGTGAATTCCGATTGAATCGATAGATCCTCGTCGTCGCCCCATTTAGCAAACAATTATAGTTACAAGAATTTTTCGGCTGGGGCATATTGAATCGAATTTAGACCGAACGATAAAAACATCCGCTTGTCAAATGCTGTTCCATGCTGATCCATTATATACAGGGATATTACGATACGAAGATGCCCCTTTGATAAACGTGTTCGGCGTGCGCGGAACTTCATAAATACGAATTGTGCAGCGGCGAATTTTCAATGATTTTCCATTCCGATTCGATTGCTGAATTTGGAAATTTTACACGCCTTCTACTATGTTTAGGTTTTTCATTTTCTGTTCTTTCCTTCATTATATAGGCAAGAGCGCAAGTTTCGATCCTGTTTGCGTTACAAATCCCGCGATACAGATGATCCTTTGTTAACAAAATTTTCCACCGCTCGTCGACGAATCGTGTAATCGCACAGAAATTTACAAAAAGACATACCAAACCGTGTGTACAGAAATACTGAATAATGTGTATCGCACTTTTACATATTTTACAAAGAGTACACGCTCTCAAGAAACAGGATGTACACAGTACGATTCGCTATAGCTAGACAAATTTTGCAGACGGATCTGACAGATCGCACGACTCGTAATGCAAGAGAAAGGACGAACCTTGGTGAAAGAATACCAAGTTCGAAAGTTCAAAAAAAAAGATCGAAAGACCGTGTGTATAATGTTATGTGTATCGTGAACGTGTAATTCCGATTTTTCCATCTTTTTTTCAGCTTTTTCACTCTTGTTTTATACACGGTGCACGCGCACATCGCAGAAGTCGCGCAACCAATAATTATTCAATCATTCTCGCGCTATATAAAAAATTTACACTATTTATAATCAAAAGTTTCGTTTACGAATTTTTTTTTTCCTTTTATCCATTCCTCAGAAGCTTAAGTAGAGATGTATATATATATATAATATAACACGACAGCAATAAGGTAGTCAACCTATCGCTAAATGTTCGCACTAAACTGTTCCTCCTTTTTCGCTTTTTATTTTCATTTAATTGGAGTAGAGAATCGTACCAATTCTTTTTGAAATGTCTTCAAAAAGACAGAAATGAGGCAGCCGGAGCATAAAAAAACGTGTTATGTACCATATGTATAAAGCGTTATATACGTGAGCTTGTTACGCTCGTATTTATGTGTATGTGTATGTGTGTGTGTATGTGTGTATTATATGTATATATTACATATGT